GTGTGTGTGTGTGTGTGTGTGCGTGTGTGTGTGTGCGTGTGTGTATATATATGTATACATATACATATATTTATATATATAGTGTATATATATATATAGAATATATTTACACGCACACTTATGTATGTATATGTATATACATACATACACATGTATACATGATTCCATTGACAATTCACATACAGTACCCAACTTTTGGGTCTCAAAAGATATACCTAGACAATATTAAATGAATAATACAACCTTCCCTCTGTCTCAAGCACAAACGCCTTATTTGGGCCTATAAGTCACGCGTTCACAGAAAGCAGTTTGATCAAGATATCTTAATAATCTATTCTTTTAGTCCGTGAAATAAGTATAATCACATAACCACTGTCGCATGCTGGTGATTATTGTCCTGATAAAAATATCAGTCTGTGGGGGAATACGCATATACACACACACTCATATATGCTTATACCAATGTATATGTATGTATATATGTATATATGTGTGTATGTATACATATATATGCATATATACATATATATGTATATATATAGATATATACATATATATGTACATATACATATATATGTTTAGGGATAGATAGATATATGTAGGTATATATACATATACATATATACGTGTGTGTGTGTGTGTTTGTATATATACACATCTATCTATCTATCTCTAGATGTCTACACACACACAGACACATATATGCATATACACATATGTGTATATATACATATGTATATATATAGAGAGAGAAACATGTAGATATATGTGTGTGTATATATATATACATACATGTATATATATATATATATATATATATATATATATATATATATATATATATATATATATATATATATATATATATATATATATATATATATATATATATATATATATATATGTATATATTTACATATATATATACACACAAACAAATATCTATTTCTCTAAACATATCTTCATATATTATATACATGCATACTTACTTATATATACACATACCTACATACATACATATATTGATATAAATACATACATACACACTCACACATATATGTATGTATCTACGGTACGTAGGTATGTGTACATGTATGTAAGTATGTATGTATGTATGTATGTATATACATGTCAATATGTCCTGAGAAAGATATTTATTTGTATATATAAACATATATACATACATACATATATGAATCTCTAAACACAGATATATATGTGTGTGTAGAGATAGATATATGTGTATAGATTCAAGCATATACATGTGTGTGTGTCTAGAGATCGATAGATAGATAGGTATATTTACCTATATGTGTGTGTACAGAATCCTAATCGCAAAACTACAACCAAACGATTCGCGCTGTTCGTGTATTGCCAGCAGGAAACTGAGGCACAGATGTTCTTTTTGAGTCTTTATTTGCGCAGTCGCCGAAGAAGCAACACCTGCAAGTGGAATCTGCCTTATTTCTACTTGGCGATGCAGTGCTCGTGCTTGCCTCCGTCGCAGCACAGCAGTTGCTGAGACTCGACGCCCGCGTACTGCCAGGCGCCGCCGCACACCTCGTAGTAGCCGTACACCTGCGGGGGGGGGGGGGGGGCGATTACAACGGATTCTCTCTTGGGCAAAGGCCCTTTCCCTCGCTTACACCTTTCCCTCATCGCTACACACTTATTTTCTTTATGCATAAAAATGCCATCAAGAAAATGGCCTTAAACTTCATTCCTTATGTGAATATTTCAACCCAGTTTATCGAAAGGACAAAGGTAGGAGTGTACCTTGTGGTTCCTCATCCAGAAGAAGAAGTGGTCGGCCAGGTAGGTGCAGATGTTCTGGCCGACGGTGACCCCAGAATCGAGCTCTAGCCAAAGGTCGCCGTTGTTGCTCATGGTGTTCAGCTGCAAACACAAAGAAATCGTGTAAGTTATTTTGCTTTCTAAAGCAGCTGAACTAGAGAAGTGAAAAGACATTCGAATCAGTCATGCTACGCTCACACAAGGGCTTTGCAAACCTCGTTGGCGCAGGAGTTCTTGCACTGCTTGGCGTCGTCCGTGCAGGAGTCGATGGTGACTTCGGGTGCTTCGAACACCATGATCTCCGAGTGCTCGTAGGTGACGAAGGCGGCGCAGCGGCACCAGGGCTCCGTCTGGGCGCTGTGGATAGGGAAAAAAGTAGTCTTTAGCAAGGGGACACTGCTATAGGATTCAGAGTCTATTCTGCAGCCTGAGGTCACGACACCAAGGACGCGCCACAGAGGACTTTCTCTGAGCAGTCGGGTCGTCGTGTGCCTCTTCGTTCCTCCCGAGAAACGGCACAGGGGGACCAGGTTTACATTAGTCACGGTAACGGCGTTTGCTAAAGTTAGTCATATTTTTTTCTCTCTTTTTATTGCGTGTACTTGTTAGCAGAATGATTCGTGCTCTAATGTAATTGATGGCTTTTATACATACGCATAAAAGCACACACACACACACACAGGCACAGGAGGACCTACCTGACGGC